AATAATTTAAAAGAGATATAACTTTATAGAATTTAAAAATTAATGACTTTCTATTAAATTTTACTAGAATAATCTCTGTTGCCTCTCTATAACATATTGAATAGTATTTATATTTTATCAAAAAGATAAATAATATAAAAAATTATTCTCTTAGCTTATAATATACTTTTTATAATATAAAATAATTTATAGAGTTAGGCTCAGCAGCTGTTTTAGTAGAACTAGGGAAAATAACTATTTCTAACTCATTTTTTATTAAGTTATATCATTTTTACTTTGTTATATTATTATAATATTCATTTATAAAAATATATTCTTTTGATTTTATTAACTTTGAAAATAAAACTCTCATTAATACTTAATATTTTTCTTAAAATATACTAGTAATATAATTTTGATTTTAATATTTATATTTTAATGTAGAAAGCTTTACTGACTTTATAATCTGATTTTAATACTTTTTTTGAATTAATAAATCAATTTTACATTCATTTTTTATATAATTTTTTAAATAAAAAGATTAAATTTATAATTAACTTTTTTAATAAATATCATTTATAATATATTTCTTTATCATATTTATTAATTAGTTTAAATTCTTTTAGGATAAGTTAATCTATTAATTTATCTACTCATATAGACTGAGTATAGTTATTATTTTATTATAAGTAATAAGTATTAAAATTTTTATTTATAATAGATTTTTTATTTACTAATAAGTTAAGAAGAGCTCTATTCACTGTTAAACTACTATTATTTTCTTGTTAAGATTTTTATTATAATCATGCTATTGTGCAACTCACATCTCATATGAGTGCATCATATCAAAATGATAAAAACATTAAAATAACAAAAATCTTAAAATTTTATTATCTTCATCATTTTCATCATCTTCATTAATTAATAACTCATTATAATGTCAAATAAGAATAAATATATTGAAGACCATATTCAAAAAGCAATCACTTATCATCAAAAAAACATTAATTTCAAAATACTGTCTCTGTCACAAAAATTTGAGATTTCTTATCAATATCTCTGAGTATATATCAATGGAAGAAATCTGAATACTGTAAAGATTTCAATTAACAAGAGATTAAAGAAGAATTAGAAGAATGCATATAAATAATAAGTTAAGCTACTTGATTAAAAGAATTATTCTCTCACAGCTGAACATATTGAAGATTTTATAAATTCAATGCTAAGATATCAACATATAGATTTTACTATCTCTTCTTCAAAAGTCAGCAAGATGTAAACTTATAGATATATTGAATGTCTATCTAAGTATAAGAGAGTGAAACAAAAGTAAATAAATTTAAAAAGAGTGATAATTGAAGATATTGAATATATTAATATACAATTTAAATGTCTTTAGATTCTATTTGAGTTTATACAATATATAGATCTTTATAAGATATTTCTATATAAATTTTCATTACATGTTATTTATTTACTACAATTTTTGAATAGTTTATCATTTTAGCAATATAAGTATTATCATTCAAAAGCAGTCAATTATACCACATATCATGATTTTGTTAAGTAAAAAAAACAACAGTTCCTATAAGACCTCTTAGCTATGCAAAAGCAGATCTTTAAATCTTATACAATAGCTGCAGAATAGGCTCAACATGGCATATATTCATGAAATTCTGACCAAGA